GTTGGTGGTGTGGAGCGAGCTGCGCGTGTACTTCGTGGCGAGCGTGGCGGCGCTGGCGGTGTTCCTGCACCAGCAGTGGGTGCACACCATCTGGCCCGAGATCCGTGTGCCCAAACCCGAGCCCGACGACACCGAAGACTGGACTCCCGTGCATCCGAGGTGAGTAGGTGGAGGATTGCTCGCGCGGTCGGGTGGGGGAAGGAGCCGGGGGGGGGGGGAAGGCTCCGTTTTGTTTTTGTTTTGATTTTTGGTTTTTGATGATAGGGTTGTTTGATTTTTTTTTTTTTCCTCTCTTTCTCCTCTCTGTCTTTATCTATCTGTCTTCCTTCCCTTCCTCCCTATCTCCCCCTCTCTTTCTCCCTCTTTCTCCTCTTTCTTCTCTCCCCCTTCCTTTCCCCTTTCCATATCGCTGTCTGTTTCTCTGTGCCTTCCACTTATTCATATACTCTTTTCTTTTAAACTTTACTAACTTTATTTCTCATCTCTCTATGTGTGTTTCGCGTGCGGGTGTTGTCGCCACGCATGTGTTCCGGGGTAAGGCGAGTCGTGGGGTGGTGGGGTGGGGTGGGGTGGGGTGTTTGAGCTGTAATGAGCCGTGAATGTCGTGTTGGGAAATTCCTGAACCGAAGAGGTTTGGTGTTTTTTAGGGGAGACTGAAGGAGCAGAGGGGAGGGCCAGGGAGGGGTGGTGGTCCGGGAGGGGGGGGGGGAGATGGGGATATCCCGGTGACTCATCGTCGGTGTCAGTCTCCCCCCCCTCCCTATCCCCCTGCCTTCACCATCTCCCCCCCCTTTCCTGTGGGACCGCTCCTCCTCGTCGACCAATGGGGATATCTGGTAAACATGACTGGAGTTACGCGGGCGCCTTCGGTATTGTGTGTTCGACGGTGTTTTTTTTTTTTCCCCCGTCATGCTCGGCCGAAGGAACGTACTCGAGAGCCCTTGGAGCTGCTCAGGATGTATGTTTTATAAGGCCAACATGCACGTGTTTGGAGGGAGTGACGTCAGCGGAGGTTCAAGATGCTCAACGCGTCGCCGCCGTCGTCACCACCGCACCGCGCCGCCGCCGCCGCAGCTTCCGACCCAAGCGACGAACGCCAAGAATAGCTCGACGCGGGTCCCGTTCTCGCGTGTGTGGTCTCGCTGCGGCTGGACGGCGAGAAGGCGAGGAGGAGGAGCAGGAACGGGACGAGGAGGGAGACGAAGGAGGGGAGGGAGAGAGAAAAGGAGGAGGAGGAGGAGGAGAGAGGAGGAGGAGAGGAGGAGGAGGAGGAGGAGGAGGAGGAGAGGAGGAGGTCGAGGTCGAGGTTGTGAAGGCAGATCCGTAGACTTGCTTTGAATTCTTCCCTGATTTTGAGTCAAGCAAATCTCACAAAGCCAGGAAGAAAAGGGGAAGACGGATAACAAAAAAACGGGAATACCGGTCCTCACTTTGTACGGCAGTTGCTCACTGCGTCCGTATTTGTGACCTGGGTTCCTATTGCACGGGCGCTTCCCCCCTCTCTCTCCTCTCCCTCCCTCCTCCCTCGCTCCTCCTCCTTCCTTCCTTCCTTCCTCCTTCCTTCCTTCCTTCCTTCCTTCCTTCTTCTCTTCTCCTCCTCCTCCCCCTCCCCTCCCCTCTCTCCCTCCCTCTCCCTCTCTTCCTCTCTCTCTCCTCTCCCTCTCTCCTCTCTCCTCCTCTCTCTCCTTCCCTCTCTCTCTCCCTCCTCCTCTCCTCCTCTCTCCCTCCCCTCCCTCTCTCTATCTCTCTCTCTCTCTCTCTCTCTCTCTCTCTCTCTCTCTCTCTCTCTCTCTCTCTCTCTCTCTCTCTCTCTCTCTCTCTCTCTCTCTTGACCTGGCTTCCTATTACACGGGCGCTTCCCTCTCCCCATCCCCACACCCATCCTTCATTGTTATTAGTATGTCAAGGATATAGTCATGTGGTTGCCCTCTGCCGTGGTATTCGTACAAAGTGACATGCATACGTAACGTGGATAGTGCTTTGAATTAACTTATTCTAGCTGATTCTATAAATATACTGGACATTTACTCCGAGTGTGATTTGGTTAGTGATTTTGGATTAGGATTCAGTTCGAATATGTATTGTTTTTTTTTCACTCTCTGTCTGTCTGTTCTCTCTCTCTCTCTCTCTCTCCTCTCTCTCTCTCTCTCTCTCTCTCTCTCTCTCTCTCTCTCTCTCTCTCTCTCTCTCTCTCTCTCTCTCTCTCTCTCTCTCTCTCTCTCTCTCTCTCTTACCCAGGCGCTCGTTCAATCACCGTCGTCTTATTCCTTTGATGGTGGTAATGATGATGGTGCTTGCGTTTCGGTGTCTCATCTCCCCTCTCCTTCGTTTTTTTGTCTGATTTACTCTCGTTTCTCCTCCCCCTCGTTCCTTCAGCCCCTCGCTATTCCTTGTCTTTGGTCCTTCTTCCCCTCCTCCCTGCATCCCCTTGTTCCTCCTCATTCTTCTTCCACCTACCCCTCCCTCCTCCTTCCCCTCGTTTTCCAATGACCCCTCCCCCTCTCCCTCTCCTCATCCCGCCCCATGAAAGAGGACTTGATGATTATCCGTTTCCGTTGACTATCGGAGTTTCCTTTGTACGAGGTATTACCGGTTAGAGCCACCCCGTACTCGCTTTCACGAGGGAATCGACGCCGCCGGGGAATCGCTCCGTCGAACAGCTGATGTTGAATTGATTAAAAGATGATGCGGTTGCGTTGATACGAGGGAAGTCTGGCCTGTTGCTGCTGCTTGCTGTGCCGCAAGAGGTTTTTTTTTCTTTATGATTCTGGCTTTTGATATTGTATGATTGCAGTTTGCAATGTGTATTACTGCAGAGAGGAAATGATAGGTATAGTTTCAGTTATCGTTTTGTCAAGTTATGAAATGGCAGGTTTAAAGTTGTTTTGAAGCGTTGATTATTGGCTGTATATAAATACATGACCATCAAAACTAGCCTCTCAATACTGGTAGAAGCCTTATCGTCACCGTTAGAACCCGTCCCATTAAAATACGCCCCAAATATCGCGTTTCACCTTGCATTGCTGCATGGGTTGCAACGGCATCTTTAAATGCTCTGCGCTGCCGTCCGTTTGTTTATATCCATTGCCTCGAGGTGTGGAAAGCATAGAGATTGCGTCTTCTCTCCTGGCATTATGTCGTAAAAAGTGACACGAGGCGTATGACGCAGACATGTTATTCAGCTGTTCAAGTTATTGCGCGTCAGTGGTACATGCTTTTTGTTTGTTTGTTTGTTTGTTCGCGGGGCCAGAGACGGAGATTAGCCCAAGGAATGCGAGAGGCGAAAGGCGTTCGAGTGGAGAGGAAGGAATGTCGCGATGGGTTGGTGGAATTGCGTCTTCGAAGGTGTATTTGGTGGGGTAACGGACTGGATTGAACTAACCGAAATGTCACTAGCCTCTAGTTCTCACCGCCCACACACCTTCTGTATTCCAATGACTCCCCTTCCTCTTCTTCCTTCCCCCTTCCCTGCATTTATCCATTGCCGGAGCTCTTCCCTTCGATTTTTTTTTTCTTTCTTCCCTTTTGCTTTCCCTCTTCTCTCCTTATCCTTTGCCCATCCCTTTTCCTTTCGCATCTTCCCTTCCCTTTCCATTCCTCTTTCCTTCCTCTTTCCATTCTCTTTCCCTCTCTTTTCCCATTTTCCTTTTCCTTCCATTCAACTTCCTTTTCCTTTTCCCTTCCCATACCCTTTCCCTCCCTTTTCCTTTCCATTTCCCTCCCCATCCCTTTTCCTCCCCTTTCCATTCGCTTTTCCTCTCCCCAATCCCTCCTTACCCCCCCCCCCCCCCCCACACACACACTTTCATGTTCCCGACGGTTTCAACTCCCGCCCGCTGGTATTGCCGAGTATTGAGGTTGTACCTGGTGTGGTGGATATCTCCCGCCCCTTACTCTCTTTCTCTCAACTCTCTCTCTCTCTCTTTCTCTTTCACTTTCTCTCTTTCTCTCTCACTTCTCTCTCTCTCTCATTCTTTCTTCTTCTTCTCTCTCTCTCTCTCTCTCTCTCTCTTCTCTCTCTCTCTCTCTCTCTCTCTTCTCTCTCTCGTCTCTTTCTCTCTCTTTCACTCTTTCTCTTTCTCGTCTCATCTCTCTCCTCTCTCTCTCTCTCTCTCTCTCTCTCTCTCTCTCTCTCTCTCTCTTCTCTCTCTCTCTTTATCTATCTATCTATCCATCTATCTCCATGCTCCCTCCCTACCTGGTGTAGTGGATATCTCCCTTTCCCCTTCTCTCCTCTCATTCTCTCTACTCCCTCCCTCTCCCCCTCCCCCCCCCCCCCCCCTCTCTCTCTCTCTCTCTCTCTCTCTCTCTTTCTTTCTTTCTTTCTTTCTTTCTTTCTTTCTTTCTTTCTTCTTCTTTTCTTTCTTTCTTTCTCTCTCTCTCTCTCTCTCTCTCTCTCTCTCTCTCTCTCTCTCTCTTCTCTCTCTCTCTCTCTCTCTCTCTCTCTCTCTACTTTCTCTCTCTCTTTTCTCTTCTTTATCTATCTATCTATCCATCTATCTCCATGCTCCCTCCCTACCTGTGTGGTAGATCTCCCCTCCTCCCTTCTCTCCCTCTCTCTTGTATCTATCTATATATCTATCTCTATCTTCCTCTCTTCTCCCTCCTCTCCCTCTCACTACACCCCTCCCACTCTCTCTCTCTCTCTCTCTCTCTATCTATCTATCTATCTATCTATCTTTCTATCTATCTGCATGCTCTTCAGCTCACAGATTGAAATAAAAGTATTTTTTTCAGTGTACAGTTAAAGGCAATGGCGACGCGTTGTCCCTTTTTCAAGTTAATCTTATCGATGACTGTTTTTTCCTCTTTCGATCCCTTGTCTTGAGATGTAGGTAACACTTGTTTATCGCCCGGGATATCAAGTGTTTATTGTTTACATGTTTATGGACTTTCTTTCCGTCGGTTATCAGTTTCCTTTGTGTCCCCTCCCCCTACCTTCCTCCCCTCGCCCCTACCTCCTTCCCCCTTCCCCCCCTTCGCCTCTTCTTCCCCCATTCGCCCCTTCCTCCCTTCCTTCCTCTCTCCTCCCTCCCTCCCTCCCTCCCTCCCTCCCTCCCTCCCTCCCTCCCTCCCTCCCTCCTCTCCCCCCTCCCTCCCTCCCTCCCTCCCTCCCCCCTCGCCTCTCCCTCCCTCCCCCCCTCGCCTCTCCCCACACC